CTTTCCCTGCAGATATGGGAATGATATGGTCTACAAAGGTTACTTTAAAGACAACGTGCGTCAGGGGTTTGGGATCCTGGAGAACCTCTCAGCTGAGAGACCTTTTAAATACACAGGACAGTGGGAAAACGACAAGAAGAATGGATACGGAGTCTGGGAAGACAAAGATAGGTAAGGCTGGTATAGATCAGAGCTGGCTTTAGTTGCCTGACAGTTTTGTCCCTCTGGCAGGGGTAAAGCTTCACGTTTTGATGGGAAGACTTGGGGATGAGGGGGGAATATGTTAAACCTCTGCTGTAAGGTTTGAACTTCTGGGGCAGCATTCTAGGAATGGGGTTTGTGCAGTACCATCTGACACTCGTGCTGCACAGAGCATTGCATAGAGCATTATATCAGGTAAAACTAGCCTCAATAGATCAAATGTATCATATAATTGTACATCAAATTGACTAAGGTCTAACAAAACAGGGAAAAACCTCATAATTTATTTTCTGTTGCATTCCAGAGGGGAGAGATACATAGGGACATGGCTTGATGATCACAAACATGGGCAAGGCATCGTAGTAACCCAGTCAGGTGTCTGCTATCAAAGAACATTTCATGCTGATAAAATGGTGGTGAGTACCCACTTTCAGTGGACTCTCTAGATTGGTGAGACCTGGAATTCCCTATCAAGGGCAAGATTAAGATTTCACTTCATAATTAACCTTTAAGGGTAAATAGAAAGCAAGAAATCTTAAGCATTTATATGTTACCACAATAATACTTTGGAAAAACGAGGTCTAGATGAAATCTTGTTTCCTATCACCTTCCTGAGGTGCAGGTAGGAACTAGATGTGACTGTCCCTTCTCCTTGTTCATGCTCTGAGATGTTAGATCTGGCTGTTCAACTAACAATCAGATCAGAATTAGAGACCAGGACTCAAATGAAGTGCTGTGCAGTTATATATGATATTAATCTATTTTTGAGATCATTAAGTCTTTACCTGTCCCATCTGAGCCTACCTGTGACAACTTGACTGTCCAGCTCATTGAAAGTTTTGAAGGTGGCGGGGAAAGCAAAAGGGATTGAAATTGTTAGGACTGGCTTGGAAAGAAAAACACCTCTTCTCCTGAAAAATATGCATTAAAAAAAAACCAAACAAACAACCCCTTCCCCACTCACCAAATGAGGGCAAAACGTTGAGCATGGAAACTTTGTCGGAAGGGATTTCCGTAAAAACTCCACCTACAAGGAACCAAAATAAAGTTGTCTTTTGGTCTGCCAGCTGCCAAAGGCTCCTTGAACTTCACAAGGCTTCCGGGTGGGGAGAAGTCACTTCAGTTTTCCTAGTGGAAAATGGGTATGGCCAAGAAGCTTCCCTTGGAAACCTTTTATTTTTGCCAGAAAGGGCGTTTTGCATCGAGAAAACCATTCCAGTGGAAAATGAGCTACAGCTCTAAAAGTGACCACATTTTCTGGCTGGTATGGGTACAAACCTTCAGGCCCAGGCTGTGGTCTAAGCCCCAATGGGAAGAATCTTCCCCCTTTCATATAAAGGATCCTGTGTCTGTCCTTGGTATACCCTTTCCCTGAATCCTGTGTTGCTCTCAGCAGCCCTGGGAGTTGGGAGGTGATGGAATGAGGGATTTTCTGAATGCTCAGGAGCAGCTCATTAAAGCCCCATTTACTGCAGAGCAAGGGACAAAGCTACTGCTGCCCAGCAGCTGCCTTCCTCTCTTCCCTTAATCATCTTGCAAAGAATGACACAATTGGCTACAGTCACCTAAAGGTCAGAGGATTGGAAGGACTATGAGTTTGACCTGTCTGGCAGGTCTTAGAACAGGAGCCTGCCTTTTATTCCTTGTTCTAAGGAAATTAATATAATAGTAGTGTTGCCTCCCCACTACCCAGTACTTGTCTGTGCTGGGATCCCTGCTGGGTTATCTCCTGTGCCTGAAGGGGCTCCAGGAAAGCTGGAGAGGGAATATTTATGAGCTCATGGAGTGATAGGCCAAGAAGGAATGGTTTTAAGCTGAAAGTGATGAGATTGAGATTAGATATAGGAAGGAATTTTTTGCTGTAAGGGTGGTGAGACCCTGGCCCAGGTTGCCCAGAGAAGCTGTGGCTGCCCCATCCCTGGCAGTGTTGAAGGGCAGGTTGGATGGGGCTTGGAGCAGCCTGGGCTGCTGGCAGGTGTCCCTGCCCGTGCAGGGGGGTTGTGACTGGATGATCTTTAAGGTCCCTTCCAGCCCAAACCATGCTATGACTCTATGATGTCCAGAACACCTCCTTGTTTTTCTCTTGAGCATTGCACTGATATGTTGGGCTTTCAGAAAGTTTCTCCGTTTCCATAGCCCGTAAATAGTCCAAGCCAGTGGCTGTTTCTACATGAACTTGAGCAAGTAGAAATGTAATGTCATGAATTCACTGCTGCTGCTTTCAAATGTAGGGTTCTGGGATTCTGCTCTTGGAAGATGACTCTGTCTACGAAGGGAACTTCACAGAAGATCTAACATTTGTTGGCAAGGTGAGCACTTCCTTCATCTCACCTTTTCTGTGCAGTTGTTTGCTTACCAGAAAGGCTGGTGGATTCATTTCCCAATTTCATAACCTCCTGCTCCACTGCCCTTGCTCCCCCAGAAAATAACATTTTCCTGCCTCATTCACAGAAGGAAAGCTGGAGCTGAGACACTTCAAGTAGGTGGGGGCTTTGTGCATTGTTTGTTTTTATTGTTTGGTTTACATTAAGAGTTTGGGTTTGGGGTTTTTTTTGTTATTGTTTGTGGGACATTTTTGGCTGTGCTTCACAGCTGCAGTTGGGATGCTTTTGTGTTCTTAGAACAAAAGCTTTAGGCTTTGAAGTGGTTGAAAACACAGGAAATGATGTATAAAGCAGGGTTGCAGTAGCAGCACTTCACTAACATGACAGAGATGCTAATGTAGCTGAGGGATCTTGCTAAATTTTGCAATCTGGACACTGCACTGACATGATCAACATTTTGTGGTTGGTTTTTAACAGATGTATCTGGTCCAAAATGTTCATAAAGTGTCACATTGCAGGGAAAAAGCAGTCCTCCAGCCTGTGACAGAAATCTGTGATGAGCTGGACAGGAAGTGGGTGGTTATATCAGGCCAAGTTGATGTCAAAAGAAACACTTTTACCAATTGCAAGTGAACCCTGTCATTATCATGGAAGGATGAGTTTGTCATCATCTTTCTTCTTCAGCTAGAAGACTCAGGGTGGATTTTGAAGAGACTGATTGTTGTGTTTAGGTGCAGCTTCCTCCAAAATTAATGTTTTTGTTGAGTGGTTAGTCTAGATAAATCTGTTCTTTATCTGAAATGGATTGCCTCCTGCTATTAGCAGTGAGGATTCCAGGCTCGTGTTCAAAACCAGACTAGTTACAATATTGTTTGGCTTTGGCTTTTATTTAATTAAAACTTCTAAGTTTGAGTCAAGCTACTGCATGTCTTCTGTATTTGCCTCAGAGAATTTAAGGTTTTTCTTGGTAGCAGCAAACTGTTTGAAAGTGTTTATGGTAAATATCATATGATTCCTTCTACTTGTGAGGGCAAACTTGCTTGTGGTTTTAACAAGCAGAGGAAAACCAGAGGAGAAATTGAAATTTTAGGTCTTCATTCTAGGTTTGTTGTCAAACTTAAGCCAGAACATCTTAAAACTCCATAGTATTTGTAAATATAGGATTTGTAAAGCACAATGCAAATATTTTACCCTGTGCTTGTGACAGTTTTTCCCCTCCAGAAGACAATGTGTGTCATTTAATAGCAAGGACCTCTTTCCTCCTGTGATGGCCACTTTAATGACACTGTTGCTTTGGGTGCTGAACATGTACATCTCCCTGCTGGAAGTTCTTCTGAGTCAAAGTTTCAAGAGCTGGCTCTGCTGAAAAGAGAATTTGAGATCTGGGTCCAGCTTGTTTCCTCTCACCAACGAGCACAAAATAACTCTTTATTTCTCTGTTGCAGGGCAAGTTGTCCTTTGCCAATGGCTTCATTCTGGAGGGAACCTTCACTAACAAATCAGGCCAAGGCCTCCAGACACATGGCATCCTGAACACATCCAATGAGCAGCTGGATGACAGGATAACCAAAGCGTGAGCACCAAGAGCTGACTTCTTGGGTTGTGGCTTGTTTTGACTACCTAGAAGAGCACTGGATCAGTCCCCATAGGGATCAAGGCAATCTTTGCTGGGGAGCTGATCTAAAAATTGGTTGATACATAAGGAGAGGAGGAGGAAAAGAGAGCACAAATGTGTCATTTAATCTAATGTCCTGTAGGATGCAGGAAACAGATGTTCTACTCCCATCCTGCCCCCATCTACCCAGAGATACTTCCATCCACCCAGAGATACTTCCATCCTCTGACTGAAGAGAGCCTTGGAGGCTTCACATTTTCAGTGATTTTTGCAGTGTGCACACATGCATTTATAGAATCATAGAATCATTTGGAAAATGATTGATGGTTGGAAAAGACCTTTAAGTCCAACTGTTAACTCAGTACTGCCAAGTCCACCACTAAACCATGTCCCTCAGTACCACATCTACACAGCTTTTAGAGGCAAAGATCAAGGAGTGAAGCACAGCCTATGAAACTATGAAGAAATTGGATTGGGTAGTGATCTATGGGGAGGAAGGCTATGGAGCCTGGGTAAAAGCTTGGCAGGAGATGGTGTGAATACAGTTAGAAGTATCTTAGAATCATAAAATGCTTAGGATTGGAAGGGACCTTAAAGATCATCAGGGACACCTCACACTACATCAGGTTGCATCCAAGCCTCATCCAGCCTGGCCTTGAATTTGAGCTGAAGTTATCAGGCTACATCTCTCTTATCCTCAGGGCTGAACCCTGCAGAGGGAGGTGCTGGTTGCCAGGCTGGAGGGCCTGAGCTCAGCCAGTTTAACCCAGCTGAGTCTCAATGGGAAAAACAGCTGCCTGTCCTCTGAGACGAATTCCTCTTGCAAAATCTAGTTCAATTTCCTCTTCAAAACACTTGTAGTCCATCACAGTATCTGTGTTGCAGAAACATCTCCTGTTTCCTGTGTTCTTCATACAGCAGTAGCTACTGGTGGTTGTTGCTCAACTCTCTTCTTGCTCTCAGTATTTTCTGCAGGCTTTCAGTTGAAATAACAAAGCTATATTTAGAAACATCCAGAAGTGGAGCAGAAAGTCTTGTTATCAGTAGCCCACCAAAGATTCAGCTCATTTATGTTCCACACACCATGAATTTTTCTTCACCCAAAGCACCTAATTGTCAGGACAATAAACTTGAATTGCCCCTCACTGAATTACCAGTTAGACAGTGGCATCTTTCTCTGCTCCCATAGTTCTTCTGTTAATACTCAATTCTGGAGAATCTTTCATATTTGAAGGTGAAGTCTGAAATGATTGAGGAGGGACACAGAAAAACCTGATGCCAGGTTGTGTTTTGCAGTCAGCTGGGCCTCGAGGAGTTTCCAGTGGAGAAGAGATGGAAGGGAATCTATGACCAGTTCCTGGATTTCATCCATTCTGGCTGCAGAGAAGAAACAGAGGAGTCTTTCATGGGGTTCCACATACAAACAAGCAAGGAGCTGAGGAAATCCCAAGAGTATCTTTTCTGCCAAAGGTAGGAGTATTATTGCACACCCCCCACACATAGAGGACCCTGTTGGTGGAGAGAAGATAGTTTTCAGTAGGGTTTGTCATTTATTGATGTTATGAACCCAAACACTGTCCAGGTGTTTCCACTCATGAGAGAGGAAGGTGGCTTTGAAGGTTGTGATGTTGAGACTGATTCTTGTAAGTGAAAATTTGCATGGAATGAATTTGATTAAATGCCAGCATCTGCATGTGACCCAGCCATCCCTGGCTCCTCTTGTATTAGAGGGTGGCCTAGTGACATCAGCAGTGGATGCAGAGCAAACTCATCTCCCCCTATGAAAAAGTCTAAAATAGATAAGACAACCATGTGCAGGACACACCCCAGGCTAGTTGCAAGAGGAGTTGAAAGCAATGAATTTAGATAATCCCAGGTGCTGTAAGCTGGGCAGGTGGGGCAATTCCACTGAAAAGGGCAGAGAAAAATTCCAATAGTCTCACTGTTCCCTTGGCATCCACCTGCAGCACTAATTGGGACTTATCCCAGGGCTTCACTCTGTGATTTTCCTTTCTCACTTCTCATTTCTCAGGGGGACTGAGGATGTATCCTGGAAGATAGAAGATATTCTTGAAGAGCTTGTCCAGCACCAGGGCCTGGAGTCACTGCAGAGTTATTTAGAGAAGGTAAAGTTTAAAACCATAATGATCCACATGTGGCCACCAGACGTGGGCACAGTTGGTAGTAATTTTTCATGGCTTTCTTTCTCTTTTTTTGCACATACAACATTGCCAGTGACTTCATGAGTCTTCTCTAAATTGTGTGTGAATACCTGTGCTGGTGAAGAGGGTTACCCTTCATGCTTTTTGGACACTCACTTTGTGTCCAACCAGACAGGCTGGGAAGTGATGGTAAAGCTTCTCAAACTGACTCAGGGGATTCCCAGGTACTGGAAATGATTAATAAACTTCCAGGCACCCTGGGTTGTTGTTCACTCAGCCAGCCTTGCCCTTCAGCTTCCCTGAAGCACCTCTTGAATATCACAGCAAATCTCACCAGAACAGCAATCCTACAAAGCATATTCCTGCCTGATATTGGAAGAAGAATGGGCTTGTGGCAGCAAAAATAGGCTCAAATTCTAGGTGATTAGCTCCAGGCTGGCTCTCCTTTGCTGACAAGAGAAGGCTGGGTGGCCTTTCAGTGTTATCCTCTATTAATGGCAAGGGCTGACTTGCAAAATTTAATTTTCTTCTCTCATGCAGGCATTGAAATCTTCCCTGCACCCACTGGGAAAGCTGCTGAAGGCCTTGATGATAGCTTTTCAGGCAACATATTCTGGGATTGGGGCCAACAGACACTTGCTGACTATGGCACAAGAGGAAGTCAAGTACTATGCAAAGAAAATCTGGGAGTTTTACCAGTAAGTCAAGCCCTCTGAGCCCTTCCAATGGGTATGAACACAGAGGGATTGTGGAGTAAACCATTGGGATCATTTTTTTTCAGGTGACAGGGCTGCTTTACTTCATGTTTCTTGGGGGAGTTGCTTCAGAATGGTGCCGGACTAAGAGTTATTGGCAACATATGGACCCAGGAAACTTTTGTAATGCCCCTTACTCAGAACCTGACACAAGGGTGTTAATGTGACCTAAATCTCACTGAGTTATGGCAGCTCAATGAGTTGTTGCCTGCAGTAGATTGATTTAGATATGCACAGTGATGAGCAAGAAACCTGATGAAGTAGCAAGGCCAGCAAAGTGCACCAGGGCACAGAGCAGTGCTGGGCAGCACCTGTGTCTGAAGGAAAAATAGCTGAAGCTCCACATGCCTCAACTCCACAGGAGTTCAGAACATGCAGCCTAAGCAGTTGTTGAGGCTCAGCTGGTGTGGGTTGTGACTCTAAAATGAGGTTGTTCAGTTGTGTGGTTGTGCCTGTGGGTACGTAAGGACTGGATCAAAGGTGTGATTGGGGTCCTGTTGCTGCTTGAATGTCTTTTAGCAGAAGCTGCAAGAAAAGCCAGGGTAGGCAGAGGTAGGGAGCTCTGCCTCTGGCTGCCCTTGGAGGAGGGACTGCCTTAAAAAGAACAGATTGAATAAAAGCTGTGTTATCAGTGTAGACTTGTGTGCTGGAGGAAGGCTGCCAGCTCTGGGGTGGGGGGTTCTCTGTCCTGGAGCAGCCTGGGAACAGCAACAGAGCTGCTGGGAACAAGTTTGGTTTGATTCAGTTCATCTGCAGAGGGATCTGTTCATGAAGAGGAGGAGAGGGCTGATGACCTGAGCATTGGTTCATGTGAAGGTGTTTCTGAGGCCAGTGCATGCCTTGGAAAGCTTGCTTCATATCTCAAGGCCTTTCAGGTGCAGTGTGTGGCAGGAGACCCACCTGGCTTTTCTGTGACCCTGGTTAAGTGTCAAAGGTTAATACTACACTAAAACAATTGACCTCTCCCTAATGTCCATTTTAAGATTATGAAATTTTGCCTTGGAAATGTCAAGACAACCCCAAGCTACTTTTCAGAGTATGAACACCCTCTGATGTTCATAGGTTAGAGAATTGGTTGGTATGACAGGTCCTAAAACCTCATGTCCCTTGAGTGGGAATATAAGGAGATGATGCTCAATGCAGACCACAGTTGGGATTTCCAGAGTGATCACCCTACTCCTCAGAAGCTATGAAGGTTTTGAAACCCTTATCAATTCCTGGTGTCTTTTGTATGAGAAAGCCCTGGAATAGTAAAAATTTAATACCAAAACAACATAGCAGGGATGAGAGGGTTTTACTGGTACCCCACTTGGTGCTGGGGCAGCAGAGCTCCTCACTTGTGAATAACAAATTACTCTCCAAAGAAAAAAAGAGCAGAGGGAACTAAACCTTGGTTCTTCTCCTCTTCTAGGGGTTTGCTCCATCTGGCACTGGAACAGAAAGGCCAACAGCCAGTAAAGTGTGTAGATGGAGAGACAAGGTATGTGTCACCACTGGTTGTTTCATTTTAAACTCCTTGTGCTTATGGGGTGTCTTCTAAAGTGTATGAAGTGCTGAACTGATTGTATTAGTCCATTTAAGTCAGATTTAAGTTGGGTTTAGTGCCCACACTTCTCTCTGAGTGCAAAGCTTCCAGTAGTTGAAATATGAGGGCAACTTCTAATCATGTTCTGGAGCAGAATGGAGTGGTGAGCTGGAGGTGTGTGGGACACAGCCTTGCAGGATTACCCACACCAGCTCCTGGGCAGTACCATGGTTGTGTGTGAGACTGTAGCCCCAGTGCTACCATTTGCTTTGCATTAGTTACAGGAAGTTGTTCATTGTGGGAATGGTGACTTCCATACTGGTACTGAGAGACAGACCAGTCTGGCTGAAGGAGTACAGTGAGTGAAATGTGGCAGAAGAGGTAGGAGACATGATGTTCCTAGAATAAGAAGGTGGGAATAGTTGTGGGAGATCCAGGTTTAGGGGTTTTGGGGGTGGGAAGAGACATCTTTGTTCAGCTGTCCCCATTTGGTCTGGATCCTCTTTGCTGTAATCTGCAGCCACCCACACGTGGGCTGAATGAAGCCAAGAGGTTGCTGGAATGGTGAGCAGCTGGAAAAAGCTTTTTCTGAAGGGATTGGGTCTTTCTTCCTTAAGAAACAACCAGTGCTTTACCAAAACAGCTCAAAAAGAGCAGCTGGAGATAAGTGTCTGGTGCTGCAGGTTTCTTTCAGTGACTGAGGAGATCTTGTTGAGAAACAACATAATGCCCTGTCCTGTCCTATAGCAGAAGACACACTCAGATCTTCAGCTTGTGGGAACACACATGAGTGTGTTATGTGTGTCACTACCATCCCACTGTGACTTTGAGCTCAAAGGTGGAGGAAGGAGGGGAGAACAAGGCTAGTTCTGACACCAGTCTCAGAAGCTGCCTTCTCCATTCTGTCCTGTGTGGCTCTTGGTAGTACCAAGGTTATAAGTCTCACTGCGGGACTCTGCTTTGCTCTTCTCTGCCACAGTGACCAGAAGGCTTTCAGTGTGGTCCTGCCACTGATCTTGCCCTGCTTCTACCCCGAGCTTTTCATGCTCTACATGCTCTATCATGAAAGAGAAGATGACCTCTACTGCCAAGGGATCGTGGACCTAAGTCTGTTTCCCGACATCAAGCTGCTAGAGTTTCTGGAAGTGCAGAAGTAAGTGACATTATTTCATCCCAGGATGTAGCCCCATGACAGCTGCTAGGAAAGCAGCAGCCAGGGAGAGCTCTGATGGCACAGGAGGAAAGGACATAGAACCCATTTCTGAGTCCATCCTTGGCTGTAGCACTGAAGTTTTTCCAGGTCTTCTAGAAGAAGTCCTGTTGTGGAGCCCCTGCAATACTGTCCAGAAGGCCAGCATTGACTACTGGAAAGCTGCTGTTACCTGTGCTCATTTTCATTTTTCTTTAGCAAAGATCTTCTTTTCTAGCTCTCAAAAAATATGGTTTGCTCCAGCTCAGGACCAATCAGACAGTTTATAAATATATCTGAGGAAGGGCTATAGTCCATCCAATGGTATCTGCTGTAGCAATGTAGGTGTAGTCTCAAGATCGAGGAAAAGCTGTGGAGTCAGATAATTCCTTCATCTATTCCTTGCAGCTTGATCCATCTTTGGAAGTGATACTTGAGGATCCATGACTCAGACTTGAGAAGCATGTGAGCTTTTCTAACCCAGCATCAGCTGCAGTTCTAGAGCTTAAACAGAGTAGCACAAGACCCAGAGTCTCAACTTGATTCAGTCTAAACTCAGTGAGAGGAACTGAATATAAAAGTGTCAAAACTCTCCACTGATTAATACAGGAGCACCTGTGAGTAGAACAAACCCTACACTCAGGTCAATGAGTCTAAGCTATGAATGCTTCCTGTAGCAGTGTAAAGAGGAGTAAACAGCCCCACAGATTTTAGTGTCATCTTGAGTAAGGAGACAAAATCAGTCAGGACTGACTTAGGATGGAGTTAATATATGGACACCTTCTAAATCTCTTTGTAATCTTCTTTTAGACACCTCTGGCCTCTGAAAGATCTCACCCTGACAACCAACCAGGTACGAAATTAAATCATAGATTTGTTTTGGTTGGAAAAGACCATTAAGATTACCAAGTCCAACCCTCAACCCAGTGCTGCCAGGCCCACCACTGACCCATGTCCCAAAACCTCTACAAGGCTTCAAAATCCCTTTAGGGATGAGGAGTCCACCACTACCCTGGACAGCCTGGGCCAGGGCTTGTCAGCCCTTTCAGTGTAGATATTTTTCCTGATGTCCAAATAACTCAGAGAGGTAACTTTGGTGTGTTAGTGAACAGCAGAGGCTACATGTTGGTGCTGGCTAATGATGGATCTTCACCTAAGTAACCACAGGGCACAACATTCTCAGAAGTCAGAGCTCCATGACATGTGTTGGTTAGTTATTATCTGTTGCTACTGCATATGAGTTTCCAGGAATGGGAATGTCAGCTCTGCACAGAATCATAGAATGGTGAATGTTGGAAGGAACCTTTAAGATCATCAGGTTCCAACCTCCCTGCCATGAGCAGGGACACCTCCCACCAGACCAGGTTGCACAAAACCTCATCTAACCTGGCCTTGAACACTGCCAGGGATAGGGCAGCCACAGCATCTCTGGGCAACCTGTGCCAGTGTCTCACCACCCTCACACTAAATAATTTCTTCCTAATGTCTATCCTAAATCTCCCCTCTTTCAGTTTGAAACCATTACCCCTTGTCCTATCACTGCTGTCTCTCATGAAAATCCCCTCCTCAGCTTTCCTGGAGCCCCTTCAGGCACTGGAAGGTGCTCTCAGGTCTCCCTGGAGCCTTCTCTTCTCCAGGCTGAACACTCCAACTCTCCCAGCCTGGCTCCAGAGCAGACTCCTTCAGATCCCTTTGAAATGCTCTGCTCCGTGGTGTTTCAAGGCCATCTGTGCTCAGAGTGACACTGTACACAACAGCTTTAATTTGCCTAACATGCTCATTTTGGGTGCAGCATTGAGGAGCCGTGTGGTGGCTCTCAGAGATGTTCTGACAGAGGCACAACTCTTTGTCTCCCTTGCAGAGGAGGTCCCTTATCAAAGACAAGTGTTTCCTGTCAGCCACAGAGTGTCTGCAAAAGCTGATGTAAGTCACTGTCCAGAACCTCTGGCTTACAACCAGGGATTGTCTGCTTTCTGGGAAATGCTACAAATTGACTCCTGTTTACAACAGCAGCTCTGGGTTAGCCTGCAAGATTATTTAAAGAAAAGTTCTTTGTGATACTTTTTCATAGAATCATAGAACATGCTGAGTTGGAAGGGACCCATCAGGATCATTGAATCCAACTCCTGTCCCTGTGTAGGGCAC